GGCTGGATGGTGCCCTCCGCCAGGTTTTGCAGGAATGGTGTTAAATAAAGAAATAAATAAAAATAAGTAAAGCGTTATCGCCTTCTGTGTGTTTTGCCTCGTTATGCTTGCATGCGCTAACGCTGCCCAGCTGGTGCAGGGCTGCGTCCCGGCCACCTTTCTCGTCTGAAGTTTGTGGAGAGGAGTTTAGTTTCCCTGCCGCACGCTGGTCGAATTCCAGGCGTGTTGCCCTGTCTGGGGTCAGGGTTGCCAGTATGCTGGGAATGGGATCTCTGGGCCCGGATTGCCAGAAACATCGAGGCCTTCTGAAGCTGCCATTTTAGTTAACGTGAGGGAGTTGAGCACCTCAGCGGTCGAGTGTTTCAGGGCTCGTAAACAAACGTGCTGCGCTCGGATAAAGGAATCGCGTTGATTTCCGTGTTGGGGCCCAGAACTTTGCTCCCACTTAGTGTATGGTTATAATTTATAGCCCGGCTGGCTGTGCCAAGGTCTGCTAGGCTGCAGGGGCAGCTGTAAACGAGAACTGCTGTTTGTTGAGATGCGATGCTGTGTTTAAGCATGTTTTATAGGAGTCTTAATTTGCAGATAGCACCCTTTGCAAAATGCTGTAGCACCCTGAAGAGCTGTTCGTCACAGGCCTGTTACAGACAGCGGGCTATGTAGGAGGTTTGGCAAGTAAAATGTAGGCCCTTACATAGGGGTTTAAAGACCCAAATCTCGTCCTATGGAAATCTATGCTATGGTGTGTAACACCAGATAAAGTTAGTAAAATCTTAATGCATGGTTGGTAAAGTCATACAAGAAAGAACAGTTAAGATTCAAGAGGGATCTGAAAATGTTTTTGAAATAGAAGGAACATACATACAAACAATAGGCTTTATCTAAATAAATTTGCCACGGTGTAGACTTAAAACTAGTGTTGTGTGTCTGTATATGTGTGTATATGTATGTGTGTGTATAAATATATGTGTGTGTGTACACAACATCTATATAAACATACAGATGTTTATGTGTTTTTTAAAGAGTGAAGGAAAACTGACAGATGAAGAAGAATATAAAGTTTGTCATAATGCATCCTCTCATGGAGAGGATCATCATACCCATAATATTGAAAATATATTAAAACATCCCCAGGATGTAATACTTGGAGTATCACAGTGTTTTTGGAAGGTCAGATATTTAAACAGCAGACAACGAGGTGACACAGAAGGGACAGAGTTGCTTGTGTGCATGTATTGGGTAAAGTGAGTTTCATTAAGGAAAAAGCAACTGTTTTAGCAAATCACGCAGGATCTCATGAACTGATGTTCACGTTTAAGTAAGAAATGTATAGACTTGGATTATCGTATACAAAGGGAGACTAGAAAAGCTACCAAAAAAAAAAAAAGTACAAGGCGGCTTCCAGTTGCCTGCATGTGGATTGTATCATGTTCCACGATGAAATTTGCCCAGGAACTAAATTTTCCAGTGTCATAAAGGACTGCTTTCTAGGCAAAACTTGTAAGGAAACCCACAGAGAAAAAGCAACTCTGGGTTTGGTCTTGGACAGCAAGAATTTAGTTCAGCATGTTACATTCAAAATGCCAGCAAGCTACTACGTGACAGCCGTCATCACGAGCTCAGATTGAACATTGTTTCAGGAGCAAGAAACGCCAAGAGCCATTGCAGCAGTGTTTAATTTTCCAAAGAAAATCTTCATTAAAAATGAGGGAGAAAGAAACTACTGAATAAAATGGTGAGAGGCAGCCAAAAGTGTAAAATACTTGCAGGTGGCATGTAATTCTTTAAAGACACTGTCGTAAAGACTTGGAGCAGTTGCATGGCATCAGTCAGAAATAAACAAAAGAACCAAGCAGGCTAAAAAGCAAAGTAAAAGAGTCCAGTAGAAGTAAAAAAGATGCATTTCCTAAAGTTAAAGCTTTGCCTCCGCGTGAGGAAAGTGGAAAAGAACATCAAATCTGTTATGTACAATAAGATAGGCCAGAAAGAGTCATGGAAGAAGTTGTTAAAAGTGTTAAATAATAGTCTCTGAAAAGCATCGAGAGCAGGAAGCCTGCTGATGGGTGATCTGTGCATGAAAGAAGTGCCCAAGCGTGGTAAAGTCATAACAGAAGAGTGCAATGAAACCCTTGAGGCTCGCTTCACCACGGAATAAAGTCATAACAGAAGAGTGCAATGAAAAAGAATTTAAGGAGATGCCTTGCTCAAGGCTTTTTAAATTTATTTTTCTGTTGGAGGGAACATTTTTTGAGGATTTCTCCCAGGTTGAAGTAGGCAGTGAAGGAATAACAAATGGGATGAGGTGATAGATTCTTCAGGAGTTCTGAAGGAAATTACATATGAGATCGCTCCTCATCACTACCAGTTACACATACACTATTGCTTAAAAGTGCCTTGACACTCCAGGTGGCGACTGAGATGTTAGTTTTTCAAGGTGTCTGAGGTAGCTGAGCACTTCATGTACCTTGATGTGACTTCTGTTGAGAAGCTGTACGTGACAAGGCCGGTGGAGCCGCGCAAAGGCATCCCTGAGCCTGAGCATTGGGCACTGTGGTCTGGCTGCCCAAGGCCGGGGTTTTCCTTGGGTCTCTGGAGATGGTCTGGCACAGCCCAGGCTCAGAGCAGAGTCAGTTTCAAAGGCAGATCAGGTTGCTCCAGGTCATAGAGTCATGTTGAGCTTGCTGAGTGAAAGGAGGTTGCCAGTGGTTTCCTTGCGAGTCTGTATAGGATCCATGTTCCAAGAGGCACCCAGAAAGGGATAAACTGTGACGTGACAAGTTTGCTGGTTGTACTAACTTGTTTGGAGTACTAAAACCAAAAATAAAGCTGGCTGCAACAACATCAGAAGGATCTCATTATATTGGAAGGCCAGATGTAAGACCGCAGATGAAAACTGGTAGAGGCCGAAGAAAGGCCTCTATGCACAGGGAAGGGAATGCAACCCTAACTTTACAAGCACGAGGATGAAGTTTGAAGCAACTATTTCCAGTTAGGAAAAAAAGAGCATAGATAAATTTCTGAAAACATAAGCTGTGTGCCTTGTGGCTGCTAAAAAAAAGTAGGGGGCATGCTAGGAATGATTGGGAAGGAATAAAAAGTGAAAATAGAGAACATGATTCTGTCATTATAAACTTATATTGCTTCCTTCTCTTGAATTGTGTTAACAATACTTTTCTCCCCTCTTGAAAGAGTACGTAGTGAAATTTGATGAGATACAGAAAAGGACATCAAGGAAGATCAGTGATTTAAAACACGTTTTGTGAAAGAAGTGCTAGATAGACTAAAACGAGTTTAGCAAAGAGGTGACAGAAGAGGATGTGAAATAGTTCCGTAAAATCATTAGTGTCATGAAGAAGGCAAATAGGGAACAGGAATAATACAGATAAACACAACCCAGATAAAACCATGGGGAGGTAACTTCAAACCAAGAGGTGTTTGTCATGCAATGCAGAGCTAAAGCCAAGAGTTTATGTAGGTTCACAACTCATTAGACAATCTGTGGAAGAGAAACTTGCTATGCAACTCAGCAGTCTGAACAGTTTAATTTCAAATTTCAACCACTGAATATTCACAAAGAATTACTGCAGACACTGATCAAGAATTATTTCTGGAAACTGCTTATGGAATCATTTTCTTTACTGTGAACATAAGAAATGATCCATTTATAAGTGACATAAACAAATGAGATGATGTATTGCTCCCTGTTATGTGAATCTTGTGGCATAAACTATTATGAAACTTCTGGTGAAAAAGAGGTATTTTTGTGATAATCCTATTTAATAATCTCTGCTTGTTGAGCTGACACTGGTTATAGTCAGATTAAGTTCATCCTGTGTGTGCTTAACGTTACACAGAGGTGTGATCCCAGCAGAATTCTTCTGATATTTGAGGATTAGAATCTTGGTTTATGATTTGTGGATCTTCAGTATTGCAAGTTGTGTCCCACTTGTGAGTAACTCAGGGAGAAAAAGAAGCAAAGTTAATCGTGCATTATTCTTCAGGTATGACTGATTTATCTGTATGTCTAGTTAAGATTGACTGTGTAAAACTCCATTCTTCAAAGGTCCACAGTGACTGTGAGACTAAGGACATAAAGCATAAGGCAATGTTTACAGAAGTTTTATTATAGCTTATGATACTGTAAACTGTGATTAGGGTAAAACATTTTAGTTCTGTGAGATCGTTAAGTGCAAAAGCAAAACAAAAAATAAGCAAGCACAAAACCTCAAGGCAAAAAAAGATTCTGAGTACAATGAATGAGCAGATCTGAGCTGTGTTTTCCTCGTTTGTGAATAATTTTATGGATCAAATCATTCCAATTATATAAGTTATCCCTCTGTTTGAGAAGGTCTGTTGAATTATTATTTACGAATCCAGTATAGATTGTCAGACTGCAAAAACCCTTCTAAAACTTGTTCTTTCAACTAGTGCCAGATACACTTGGAGCTTCATGTAAATTGCTGAAGCCGTACTGATTTTTTTGAATGGGCCAGGGAGCAAATAAAGTACTGGTGACTAAAAAGTGTTACTGGGTTTCTTATGTGTAACACGCTGAAAGGCCAGATTCAGTGTGTGCTGGAAGTGCTCTGAGCCCTGTGTTTGCCTGGGGGCAGATGGTGACAAAGGCACAGCTTGAGGACACAGCAGGCGTTTTCCTGGTTTCAGTCTGGATGCGGGCACCCAGGAGCAAATCCACCAGCCTGTGATGTGTTGTTTCACCCAAGGTATAGAGCCAAGATTTCACTTTAAATGATTTTTGACATTCAGTTATTGGTGCATGGGTTACTAGCTTTTGTAAAGAGCTTGGAGGCAGTAATTCCCATGTAACTGTGTGTTGCTTCTTGCCCCTTAAAGAATGAGCAGGGTGCAATTTCTTAGTTTTTCAGATAACCTTTACAGCTTTCATTTGTTATTACCAGCCTGTCCAGTATTAGGGGAATAATGGGGAAAGTTGTGGCAAAAGTATTTGAATTTGTCTCTTAGGTTGAACTGCATGCAACAGTGGATGTTGTCTAACCATCTTCCTTTTGCTCTTAACTTACTTTAAGTACTTTTAAAAGAAGTATTACATGCTTAATATTAATGTTGAACAAATGAAGGAAGGATTATATAGAGTTTAAGAAAGTCATAAAGCATGGTTAAGTTCTGTGTTTTTGATACATGCAATGTGATATCTCTGACTTGAGGAATTTGGTGACTACACAGAAGACACAACTGTCCTGTAATAATTGTATGTTAATACTGGACATCACTTGGCAGCCTTATAGAAAACCTCTCACAGTTTTAGCCATGCAAGATAATACCTTATTTATCAGTAAGCTGAAGTAGCAGCAAGACATTTGGATCTTTACATGCATTTGGTACATATACATGACACGCATTTGGAGCGTGGAGTGGACTTTCAAGGCATTTGGTGTGCTGGCTGCTGTTTTAAGATATCTTGTTAAGTTGTACAAATGTGTTTCGGGGAATTAACTGGAAAATACTGGAATTTTGAATTTTAAAATCAAAATGCAATAATCTCCTCACCAAAATCTTCCCTAGATTGTAACAGTATCTTATAAAGTTTATGCCCAATAAAATAATACCTGAGAAGGAAAAAAAAGGGGGAAGGGGGTGTTGTTTTGAAGTTACTGATTTTTTTCTTGATGGATCTGAAATCCAAAGACTGTTACCTTTAAAAATCTGAAAGCAAAACATGAGGATAAAATTGAAACTAAGCATAAGCAAAAGTGAAACTGTCTCCATTGGTTCTCATTTCCCAGTTGGCAAAAATGAAAGAAGAAACGCAGAGGAAATAGGCATGAGAGCTGAGCTTTAAAAATAATTTCAATTTTATTAACTTATCTGTCAGTAGCTTTGACTCTTATATGACATTATTTTAACTCTTACTCCTTATCATACATCACGTTATTCCCCCTGATTTATCCAGGTAACACTTTTCTTGTTTAGTGGTCTGTGTGGTGACCTTGCAGGTCTAAAAGGAGCCTGTTCCTCATTTGTGGAGGCTGCATTTTGAAATGCTGGGGCAACTGTGTGTGCACAGAGTCAAATGAAGGTGATAACATCAGTATGATGTAAGGGCATTATTCAGCTGGTAGATGTACTTGAAATTTATTCATGTTAAGATTTGAGTGGTTAATAAGATCGGTTGTAAATTGTGGGGTGTTTTTTTGTTGAATTTTTCCCCCCCTTTCCTCCTCACTTTTGCATCAGCAACTTAGATCTGGGAAAGATCAGCAGTAACCAAAAGGTGTTATCGGGTGTCAGCATTGCTTGTCACATGAAATGAGTACAAATGGTTTCACTCGATTTCCGTGGATAAGTTTCCAGTCAGAAGATCCCTTCTGACATTGAGAACTTCCTGGAACATTATTCCAAAGCCGGCCAAACCCCGCGTGGCCATGCAGAAGCCTGAACCATGTTCTCCTGTAGAAAGTTTATTGCTGGTCTGGATGGAGAAAAATGCGGGTTGGGTTTTGAGGAGAAGCCTGGATAATCACTGCTTTGCTAGAGCTGTGGTAGGGTAGAATGAAAGATTTTAATTGCAGAGATTTTATTCTGACACATTCGACAAGACAAACTTTGCTTAGTTTAATAATGCTTATCTTTCCTGGATCAGAAATAAAGATGAGTGCAGTGGCCTTACTCTAGCTCAGGGGTATTTTAAGAAACTCCCAGGATAGAAATAGCTGCTGCAGATCAGAAATTGAGGCTGCCTCACTGCTCTTAGTTTGCAACCAACACAAAAACTTTAAATTAAGAACACATTTTATAACCAATCCCAGCTATTCATATCTCAACATGAATGAAGAAGTCCCTGTATGTCCTGTGGCAATGGAAAGAGCAATGTTTTTATAAAAAGCAGGATTACATCACATTTTTTTCAGTGGTGCCAGGATTAAGGATTTAATGTTTAGTACTTCTTTAAATTCGAGCCTCCAAAGTGTATGTACAGAAAGAAGTTTCTTTTTTCCCCATTATGTTCTCCAGTGTCAGCCAGTAGTTCTGTAATAATTAATTCAATTTACTCTCCAATAATTAGCTCAAGTTACTTTTTTTTTTTTTTGCACTCACACATCTGCTTCTTTCATAGTGCTATTTTTGTAACCATAAATAACTGCATGTGACAGACATGTTTCCAGCTTGCAGTTTGGATGATTCAAAATATTCCAGCCCCCAAGTCTGTGTTCTGTGGTCTGTCTTTAGAGCAAACCTTCTGAGTAAGCAGGAGGCGGGCTTTTTTATTTATTTCTTATTCTATTTTTTTGCACATACCAAGGAACTATATTTTTCTTTGATAATATAGTCAGGTATTGGTGAAGGGAAGAATGCCAGTTTCTTGGAGGGGCTGACCTGGTGCTTGCTGTTAGCAGGGGTATTTTATACCTTTTGCTCTCCGATTTGGGTGCTGTGCTGGTGATTAGGAGTTACGGTAGCTAAAGCATGGGTGTGGGTTAGCTATTAACTTCAGTGGTAGAAACCGCCTTTGCCCAGACAATAAAATTAAAGCTTTAAGCAAATATTAAATTGTACTTTAGTGTAGTGTGCAAATACTTTTTGCTGTGTGTTGCAGAACAGTATGTTATCCAAACAAAGCTAGCTGTGAGAAACGAGGCAAATCTGAGCAAGGTGGATTACATCAGGCCAGTTCATGGCCAGCAAATGTGAAAACTCTTCCTTGAACATATTTTGCACTGTTCATACCTTGAAATATTTTTTTCTGCCTCTTTGAGAACCTTTAAAATGTGACCATTTTCTCTGTAATCTTGCCTGAGCCTTCACAAGCCACCAGGAAGGGTTCACTGCGATTCAGAGTGTCTGTTTCGCAGAGTCTGTTTTCCTATATGCAGTATCACCCTACAGAGCACTGTTCATATATTTGGTCAGAGAAGTGGTAAGCAGGACATAGAGATAAAGACCACCCAGGCTTTAAGCAGTATTTTTGCAAGTTAAGATCCTGATCTTGCAGATACTTGTGTGTATGTTTGGTCTTTTTATTTCTGTCTCTCCCAGAGAGACCAGTTTCATGCAGGAAATCAGATGGGCTTGTTAAATGTTTCAGCAATGTCTCCAGTAAATCTAATCACAGAGCAGTTGGAGTGCACTAGACTTACCAGAGCTGGGGAGTGACTTAAAAATTGTTGTTGAGTTGCATTGCTATGACAAAATACGTGATTCTTGATAATTGTTTGACACTTAATAATCTTCTGTTTTTCAACAGCCCAGAAAATTCCTTATGAATCAGCTGTCAAACTCTGACTTTTCCCAACAGCTTTTAAGAATTCACAGGGTTTGCTTCAGTGGACACAGACTGACACAGCTGAGCAACATCAGCTATTTTATGTTGGTATTTAGGAGTGAATACTTGTGTGAGCACTTAATTCCAGAATAACATTGATTTATTTTGGGATAACTGTTCCCACTGCAAGGAATTAATTATTCCTTGACAACCGTGCCAGAAAATTTCTTACTGTAAACAAGTCCTTCCTTAGCTTGTCTAGGGGAAGTACAGACATACTGCTGAAAAATTGTCACCTTTTCTTCTAGGCAGCTCTTGGGGAAAAATATTCCAGATACTGAAAACAAATTTCGAGCGATTGTCAGGGGTAAAATAAAGCTTAAAAAGTAATTAATTTGGGTGGACTTTACGGCTGCGTTACCCACTCCTGGAGGAGATGGCAGTAGAAGAGTTTTCTGTTTTCTGTTCCTGTTGGCTCTCAGTTGCGTAGACATGGTGTCATGCAGATGCCATCAGGATCTGCCATCTCCATCTTCAGTCAAAATAAAACGGGAAACAAACAAACAAACAAAAACCCTAGGAAAAAGGGTGTATTTTAAAGCTGAAAGTAAAACAGTCATTTTGTATTCTCACTAGACTTGCATCCATGTGCTGAGGTGGTCACTGGGGCACAAATACTGTCAAGATGGTTTTTAACAGTCTATTTCATAGGAGTCTGGGCCAGATCGCTATGTGATGCAAATCACAGTGATGCCCAAGGAGTGAATGGTCTGAACAACCTACTCTGGGTGTTATTCAGTGTTATGATAATGTTCAACAAAGCAGTGAGTGCAGGGGTAATTTTATAGTGGCTATTGAGAAGCCAAAGCACTGGTTTGCAGTGGCTAAGACCAGAAACAAGAAGCAGCACCAGAACCAATGTGTTGGTTCTGGTGTATTCAAATGGCTTTTTCTCAGTGCAGTTCTAGGCTAAAAATCCAATGGCCACCTATAACAAAGCTCAAGATCATGGCAAGTGAGCAACTCATGTCTCTGCAGCTGAGGGAGAATAAGCTTTGCATGGAAACCAAAAGAAGGAGTCTGTTTTGATGTGTAATGTCTGTATCCCAGCCAGGGCATGTTAACACCCTTTGGGTGGAACAGAAATGCTATAGGGATGATGAAACGTGCTGTATATAATAGTATGAATTCCCACTGTACATTTTCCTGGGCATGTTTATCATGCAGTCCGTAATGCTGATTTCAATACATGCTTGAGGTATTTGCTGTCTTAGTTTTTGTTGCTGTTGTTGGTTTTGCAAGGTATGTTGGGTTGGTTGGATTATTTTTCCTCCCTCCTTGAAGATGCAAAGATTTTGATTTTTCTTCTTCTTACCTTTGGCATCTTCCCTGTGCACGGCCGTGTGAGAGAGGGGCTGAGTGGGGCGTCCTCCCTCCTCCACCTATGTTGCATCTCCCTGCAGCCCTCATTTTTTTGTCTTTCTGGCCCATTTTGGAGTCTCCTCCTTCCTGCAGACACCTGAGCAAATACGGTATGTTTCCTGCCTGTGGTGACTCTTTTTCTTGTTGACAGACAGGAAGGATATAACGTGCTCATGCCATTTTTCTTTGCTGGTGCCGCCAAAGTGTTCCAGAAAGCAAAGAGCAGGAAAAACACTGGGGTTGCTACTGTGGGGAGCGAGAATTGTGGCCAAGCCCAGGAGCTGGGTTTGTGGAGCAGTCGCTCCTGGGGTACATTTTTAAATGGAAGGGTGCTCAAGGCAAGAGGAGCTTAGTGATAAGAAAATCTGCCTTGGCATTTCCCCAGCCCCTGCCTAACAGTGTGTCACTGATAGGAGCACTGCAAAGGAACAAAGGAGGCACCGGTTAAAAGTCTGATAAGTCTTTAAAAGGGTTTTATGGACTTTCTTGCCTCTTATCTCTGTTTGACAAGTCAGAGAGCTTCAGGGTTTTATTTAGAGCATTCCTTAACCCTTGCGGCTGCGAGGATGGATATGCCCATCTTTCCTGGCCTGCTAGTGCTGTCCTAATTGTTTTACTTTTGGTTGTCCAAAAGCTGTGTATATTTGAGTAATTTGGAGTTTCATGAAGAAGACATGTTAATTCGATGTCAGTGCAATGTCAGTGGCAAGTTTTCCTCTCTCCTTTTGGCAGAGGCAAAATGTAGCTGGGCACAAGTCGCCTAGGAATGGGGGACAGGGAGATCTCGTGTGTGTGAAATCAGGGTAGCTGAGTTAAGCACAGTCTGGTTGTATGTGTTTCTGTTAAAATACTGGTTATATTTTTGAGGTATTACTGATCCAGTCATGTTAGCAAATTTTCTTTCCCAGGAAAAGTTTGAGGTTTCCACAACCTCGGCATGTGTTAGAAGTATTTCTGATACAGTATATGAGTGTATCTGTATATATGTATGTATATATGAACAATATCAGAAGGTTAGATAGTAAACTGGTACCGTAAGCCCATGGATTCATCCCAAAAGATCCTGTCTGTGCTCAGTCTGGGTTGCCTGGCTTCCAAGTCGGGCTCTGCACATACAGTTCAGTATGTGCTTATTTTTCATGTGGGCCCCTGAAGCAGACTATTTGAAAAGACCCAGGGTGGTCCTGTATGCAAAATCCCGTATGACCAAAGGACAGAATTTTGCTCTAAGTACTGCTCTGTAAAGTGAGATCGTGTTTCTTTATATCCGGGAACAGTCTTGGCACAGGGACAAATACAGAACCCAGTTCTCTGAATCCTAAAATTAGACTATGGTCTCATTTCAGCCTATCTGTTTGGTCACACAGGGTGGATGATGCTTTTTTTGAAGTGCATGAGCATTAGTAAACACAGAGCACACTTTGAAAGATTATCAGCAAGCATGAATTCAAGAGAACTTGTTCCTCTAATGCCACCAGTTCTCTGTTTAGAGAGAACAGAGAAATAGTTACCCTGCAAAATCCTGTGTGAGTCCTCTGGGAAACATTTTTTGCAGCTGTGCAGAAAGGCTGTGACCTGTTTCACATACGCACCTCAGAGCATCCTATTGCACCCTCCCTCCTCACAACACCTAATGATATTTCCATATACTAGAAAATCTTTTAGCTGGTACTTTGTGAAGGGGAAGATTCTCCCTCTCTCCCCTCCTTTTTTTTTAAACTTCTATAGAACTATATTAAAAAAAAAAAAGTGATATTTGAGTGGAACATTTTGTGTCCTTTGGGGATAACCTTTGTGTGTTTCCAGCCCTCCAGACGCTGACAGAATGAAACCGAAGGGAACAGAACATCTTGTATTGTTCAGATTTAATACGCGCCATGCCGTCGCTTTCACTGCTTTCACTTTCTTTCTGCAGCTGCTCTGATTCTAGGGAAGGGCTCTTCATTCTCAAAGGTTATACTTTCTGTATGGCAGTGGTGTTATCTGCTCTCATGGGAAAAAAAGTCTAATTTATTGGCCAGCAGAACATCTTAGTAGAGCGGCTACAAGCTCTACTGAACATTGCTGAATTAAGCTATCTGCATCTATCTATTTATATATATACATAGCCAGAGATTGTAACCCAAACTTCATTTTTTCTAGTACCTCTTTAAAGATAAATATCTCTTTAAAACATTTAATACTTGCTGTAACATCTCCTTAAAAATAAACCAATGATAGAAATTTCTTCCTGCAGAGTTTTACATAAGGGCTTACCTCTTAGCAAAACACATTTTGCAAAGGAGTGTAGAGCTGAAATTCAGTATTTGTCACATTTTACGGATGCTTCAGTGACAGCTACCTGCTTAATGATGTTTGACTACTCATGAAAAACACAGCTATATCTGTACTCCTGTGGCTCTTCTCTTTCAGTTATGTCTCTCTTAGGAAGTTGACTCCTTGTATACTTGACCACAGGCTGCTCTTGTCATGATTTTAGTATAGAAAGTTCATTTTTAAGTGCAAGCCGCGGGAGCAGAAGCCGTGTTCCTGGCTGGCCTCCTGCAGGCTCCTGAGTGCGTACGCGGGCAAGGCTGGCCTGCCTTCAGCAAGTCTGGTGCTGCCTTTCGTGCGCAGCGCTTTTCCTCTGAGTCACGTCTGCAGGATTAAGACAGTTTATAGCTTGTCACGGAGCAGATTCCACCATGTTTCTTCCTGGTATCCAGTTGCAACAAAAAAGCTGAGCTGACTGCAGAGCTAGTATGACTAGTACAATAAATAATCCTTCAAAAATGGGCAAAATAATCAGTTCATAAACTATGCTGTCACAGCATCCTGTGGACCACCCCTGTTGCTCCTTCCAGGCTCCCTTGTGGCCCTTCCAAGCCCCTGTTTCGAGGGGCCCTGCAAGGCCCTGTGTCTCCTGTTGTCCCCCCTGCCTGCCACCCTGCAGCCCCGTGCAGACTCTGTCCTCTCCTCGCAAATGCCACGAGGCTGGGGTTCACGTCTCGCATGCTTAGACACTTCTCGGGGCATCATTTTATTAGTATCTTAATTGAAGCCATCATTAAAGAGAACAGCTCCTGAGTCTGGCCCCCTTTAAGAAAAAGGGAGGCGATAGGAATGAGCAAGAGAAGGGAAATTATATCCTCAGAGCCATCAGCCTCGACATATTTCTAGGGCACGTGTTCAAGAGTTGTGGTTTTTAAAGATTGGTTGTCTCCTTAAGAATGGCAAGCGTGCACAAAATGAATTCCCAGTAGGTAGCCCTGCTTGCACGTCTGAGGGATTCTTCCCTTGCTGTGGAGTAGAAAAATGCTTCCTGGGGTCCCATCTGCACTAGCAGACATTGAGGATGTTGTCAGCGATTATTGTTTCTCTGCCCCCACCAGGAGGTAATTTTTAACCATAATAATAATAATTTTTAAAAAGTATTTTCAGCCTAATGCCAGAAAGTTTGATTCCCCCATGGGTCTCCAGGAGTGATAAGTGTTTCTTTGTGCTCTCTCCAAAGAGATGCTAGAGCTCTGTATAGTCCAAGCTTGACGTTGCGATTTAAAAACAGGGAGGCTTCGTGAGTACCTTTGGGTGAAGGAGTTCCAGCCTTTTCCCTCCTGCTGCTCAGTCTTGCTCCCATGCTCCCCTCTCAGCCCTGCTGCCCCGAGGGGCCTGAAGGGGAAGGCAGTGGGAACCGGGTGCCTTGGCAGCTCTGAACGTGCTGGTAGGAGGGTCTGTTTGTCGCTATACAAAAATACAGGCACCTGAACAGACCTTCTGGCCCTTGGCTCCGATTCCGAGTGGGAAGTACAGTGTTAATGTACAGAAATGAGAGATAGGTGTAACAGACCTTCTGGCCCTTGGCTCCGATTCTGAGTGGGAAGTACAGTGTTAATGTTGTACAGAAATGAGAGATAGGTGTACAGGTGCTCCCTGTTTTATAGGCCTGCCTAAGATTGTAAACGTTAATGTTTCCTTCTCCTGGAAAGGGTCAGCTATTTTTGCTTTTCACCTTTCTGCTGGGTAAACACTAGCCAGAAGCTGAAGTGAAGGGGCTTGGCACGTCTTGTGTTTTGTATGGCTCACCTTAGTTCCTGGCTTTATATGTGTGCTTTATAATTCATACATTCTGGTGTTAAGTGCTGGGCCAGTGGTGCTTTGCATGGCTTTGCTGTCTTTTTCAGAGGATTTTGGAGGTCTTTGCAAACTGAACTACTTTTAATGGCACCAAGCAGTTGTCCCGTTACTCACTGGTGACTTTAGATCCTCCCATATGAAGCTACCAGGAAAAGTTAAAACAACAAAGCAGCTAAGAAAGGACCTATGAGAATAAGACTCTTAGCTGCCTTTTAGCCTCTGTTCCTGTAGGAAAGCCTCATAGGAAAGGTGGGAATTCAAAAGTGAGGCATTAGGAGTCTGCTTGCACTCCAGAGGTTTCCCTCCTTCCTTCCCTTGAGCTCCGTGGGGTTTTACTGTGCAAGTCCTCCTCGGAGTGGCCTGCTGAGAGGGGAGAATGTCCTCACTGTTCTGTGGCCCTGTTTGGGACTGTAAATCTTAATACTGTGTTTGTTAACCGTGTTGATACATCCTGAATAATTTATGTAACAACATCATGCTGGCCTTAACCCAGAGAGGAAAAAGTGGGAATTTAACCCTTGCATGATTTTTATTCCATGCAGTTGCTTTTAACGAAGTTACTCTGTTATGCATAGTGGAAGACAGTCTTGAGATGCGAGCTGACCGAGGCTGCTGCTGGTCTTGCTGCAGAGGTCCTGCAGCGCTTGGTGCAGCTTCTGCATGAGAAAATTTGCATCTGGCAGATCTGGAGGGCTGCTGCAGCACTGGTATTGCACGGAGCGATAAAGGAGCAGGGGGTCCCCTCTGGTTAACGGAGGTGTGCTGTGTTCACCCCTCTGAGGAAAACGCTTCTCCAGAAGAGACCCGCAGTTGCATCATCAAGGGTTATTTTTAGTTGGATTTGGTTTTGCTTTCAAATAAGCAGGTCTTCAGAGCTGCTCTCTTCCTCTCTTGCACATCCATCCTCTCTGCTCGTCACTTGTGATGGATGTGGTTTGGTTTGGTGTGTTGGAAGCAGCAGGCTGGCCCAAGGAAGCTCTGCTGAGCTTGAAGCATCCGCAGGGAACAGCCGGAGTGGCCTGGGGACACGCGGTGGGAAGCGGCCGCTCCACCTCGCTGGCGCTGCCCGTTCCTTTCTCACCTCCTGGAACACGGTGCTTTTGCAAAGAGGAGCTTTGACTTCTTCCTGGGTCTCCTGCCTCAAGCTGGATTTCTTGCTACTGCCTTCGAGATTCCTTTTTCACCTCTTGGCTCATTAGCTCATTCAAGTAGGCTTGAAATTGTGTCCTAGGGGCTCATTAGCCAGAAAACAAGACATGTCCCGTTGCTGAGTAGGAGCACTCATACGTTGAATTTTAATGATTATACATAGTGTTTCCAGGAACTGCGCCAAACTGCACATACATTTAAAGAAATTGTATGAAAAAATGAATCTAAAGTGACCGTTGCTTGTTTGTGCCTCTTCCTTGACAGATGAATAGAAGTTTACTTTTGTTTTTAGTACGTTGCCATTTGTGTTTTCCAGCTTTGACCTGCTTCTAGCAGGAGGGCCGTGGCACTGGGGGCCGAGAAAGGCAGCTGGTGCCCACGGGATTTCTAGGGAGAAGTGGGACCCCTTCGCTGTGACACGGAGAGCAGCCTCTCCCGCGGGGCTCGGTCCCGCACCGGGGCTTTGCACGAGGATTCGGCTATCGGCGCCTTTATTTTTTTTGAGATCTGAAACGGACCTGAGCAGTCACAACCATTTTCTAAGCTATCATGGAAGTTCTTAGTCATCAGAGAGGGAAATGTGGGAAAGGTCGAGGCTGAAATTCTGGTGACCAGCTCCACACAATGACAAGGAAAATGCTACTGTGTTTACTAAGAAATTAGCGTGAGCACAATCGCTGTTAAATTCTCCGAATATATCAAAGAGCTTTATTATTGTACTTGGGTTTTAATTCGTTATTAGTTTCAGGAAATACATATCCTCAGAGCAATGAGAGGAAACTTCGAACACTTTTCTTCCTCTTGTGCAGGGTGTGGGCCTGGTGCTGCCTAATTGTTAGTCTGTCTGAAGCCTGAACTCCCATAGGAAAAAAGAACAAACCCATTTACATTTGTGTCATTGCTGTGTGCTTTCAAATATGCAGCCTAGACTGATTTTTTTTTTCTTTTTTTTTTTTTTTAAAGATCAGAGGTGACAAGAATAGCAGAGCAGAGAAGTGCAGAATGGTGCAGAGAACACAGATGTAAAGAACAAAGGAGAGAGCAAGGAGCTGAACCTGGTGTAGTGGCAAGAGAAGAAGAAGCCTAAATGCAAGTACTTGAATGTAGAAATGATTCTCTGCTGGCTGCTTAACGGGAGGTTAATGTGGTGCTTTGATCTGCTTGTAGGGGTGGGTGTCACTTAGAGGTGCCCGAGACAGGTTAATGTTTTTAAAATGGTCTGTGTCAGGTTCAATACTTTGGACTCTCTGTCAATAATTTACAGGTCTAAACCCAGAAATGGCAACAGGGTCATGTCTATTTTTAAGAGAGTGAGAGAGAGAAAGAGAAAGACATAAAGAAAGAAGTTAGTCTTGAGTCTTAACTGAATGATGTAACGTGTCCTGGTGCAGCTGAAATGGCTGTAGACCACTCACTTCTTAGCCATTAGTATTGAAGTGTATAGTAGCAGCTAAAAGAAGCAGTGATTGGGTTGATTGGGTTGATGAGAGAAAACTGAGGAGGGCACTGCTACTCAGATAGAAGCAAAGCAGTCTTATAAACTACTGGGACATAACTTTTCATAAACTTAGTCAAGTTCATGTGACAGAAACAACCATCTGAAGATACTATAGTTAGTAGATACAGTGTTTTTGCTGGTACAGTGGGGTATCTTTTTTAACATTTTTTTTTCCTTGGCAAAAAAATCTACCTTCCTATGAAAATGCAAGTACTTGGGCCCAAAAGAGGTCTGTTTAGGAGCTTAGTTGGTGTCCTTTGGACCTCCAGTAGGCTGCCTCCATCAGCAGAAGAACTTTTGCCACTTTGATGAGTCTTCAGTTAAAAGAGTTGACCGATATATTTTCTGTGATAGAGAGGGTTTTATCATCTCACTTGTTATGTGTGGTTATTACATGGCTGCAAATCTTTAATAAGTCTGTCTGTCTGTGTCTTGGGCTGAGGTGGGGGAACTGCAGTCGTGCCTAGAAAACAAGTAACGTTGTCCCCTGTTGTGTTCAGCTAACGCAGGTAAGGATGCCTGTCGAGAGAATGCGGATGCGCCCATGGCTGGAAGAGCAAATAAATTCCAACACAATACCAGGGCTGAAATGGCTAAATAAGGTAAGGTCCATGTGCCTATGTGTAGGCATGTTTCCTGTGTGGATGCTCTATAGCAAGGTCTGAGTTTGGGCTAAGTAAATCAGGGTTTGTGATTTTCAAAGGGGCAATGTAGGGAAGAAGGGCAGAGCTGAATGCTTCCTGCTGTACCTGTTCTTCTGGCCTTACCTTGCAGTTTTGAAGATCTCTCTATTTGCCTGTTAGATTTGTGGCTTGTTTGAAAGCATTTTTCCTCCTTCAACTCTTTGTTGTTAGAACAGCTGTTCTGAAGACTCCATTAGGTTTCTAGGTTGGGAACAAATTACTCGCGAAGTAGTGTCAGAAGGATTTGAACAAACACTCTACTGAGGTGGAATACTGTATTTGTCATTAACCTCTGAGTCAAAGTGATCATCTCCTTTCAGTCGCATGTGAAATCTCTGGTAGGTCTCAAAGCAGTGGACATGGAAGAAAACAGGATAACTTTTCCTGTATCAGAACCAAATCTAGTGTTTTCTTGTCTGGAACTCTTAGTGAAAGTGTTAGACACACAAAGAACATAAGCTTGGACTCCAAAATGCCAGCACTAGGTAGATTTTTTTTTTGTCTTGTCTCCACTAGTATTTGTGTTGGTCAGGTAATCACTTTCAGAACTGAAGAATGACTTTCAGATATGTTTTTATTTCAGCTTTCCAACCAATAAATTTTAGTGGCCATAAAATTGGGAGCCCTTTAAATTTCAGCTACACATTTTGTTTCTCAGGAACTTCTGCATCAGCGACTTTTGCATGCTGTGACTGGGTAAATAAATATTGCTTTATCCACTCCCAAGTTAGCTGCCCTGTGAATTTGAGTAAGTCCTTGTTCTTGCATAATGGGGTCACAGTTAAAAAGGAGGAAGAGACTGGTTTTAACTGTTGTCTTTGTAATTTGAATACCACAGGTCCCTGTGGATTCTATCTCTACCTCTGGGTCAGTTCTCTCCTGCTGACAGCCCATCTCTAATGTCCTTTCCTGGACACTTTTGACACTTTTTTTTGCTTCTGAAGTAGTTTCTCTGTGCCTCTGAGGACATGATATTTCAGTTTCAGTCTGTTTAATTCATTGTCATTTTTTTGTAGATTACTCTCATTTAACCTTTTTTCAGTATATCGCAGAAACACTCTTGCTGCCTTTGCTCTGCAGTGGGGAAAGGTTGCCACTGTGCTAAGGGATTCATTCTTCAGGCTCAGCCCAGCAGCACGTAAAGGCATTTTGCAAAGCGTGTTGTGTTGTGTAATGCTTACCACTGTCCTGATCAGGGTGTTACAGCAGTTTCTGCCTGGTCCTTCTGGCATGAACTTTCATGTGCAAGAGCTGCCTGGAAAGTTTTGTCCATAGTTAGCATACCCTGTATTGACCAATGCTTGTCTTACAAATACAGTACTTTGTTTTAGGGGAAAAAAAATCAATTTCAAAGCCCTGGCCCTACCAGAGAGAGGACACTAGGCCAAATGGCCTGCACTGCGATTAATTAAGCTGAGGCCCTATTCCCATCCTCAGATTTGAGAACCCGTCTGAGTTGCCTTTATTGTTCTCAGCAAGCTAATTTGACTTCAAAGTGCTTCTGTTTAAAAGTGTTTTAAAGACTTGTTCCAGCAATTAATCATTAAAGCAAAAATACTTCAATTTTTAATGTAAGCCCTAATCATAAACAAGGGCATGCATGGGATCTGTGAGAAAGTATCATGTGCATCACAGCTTTGTGCACACACAGAACTGACTCTGAAAGTGGTGTGATTTCAGGGCTTTTATTTTTAATTCAGAGCTTGGTGTAAATCAGTTTGCAGTGAAGAATGTGTGTCAGATTAGGAAGAGAATGGCATTTCTGCACACAGCTTTTGAAGAAATAAAATATAAATACTGCAGGAAATAACATTATTCTAAGTTTCTCATGGGGAGAATGAGGAAGTAATGGGACTAATAGTATTCTAAGTTTCTCTTTTTTGGGTTTTTTTTTTTTTTCTTGATGATTTTCCTATAGTAGAGGAGGGAATTAAACCTCACAGTTAAAATGACAAGTCAGATAAGGGCAGATTTATCTAATCCCTTCCTCTGCTCGTTCTGCAGCGTTAAACAGTCCAGAACAGACTCCTCTGTATAAGGCTGCAATTAAAAACAGAAATTTGTGTGCCTGCTGGGTGAAAATTTTATCCTGCTGCATGGCCTGAGGGAGGAAGCTGAATGGCCTGAGGGAGGAAGGGAATTTTGTTTACCGCCCCCAGAGAGACACACCTGGGAGCTGTGAAGGAAATTAAGTAGTAGTTGAGGAGTAGAGGTGGTGTGAGGAGGGGGATGATGGGAGGTCAGTATCCCTTGTGGATCTGCAGAAGGATGTTGCAGTGGAAGCTTTCAGAGCAGCTACAAGGGTTGCAGAGAGGGAATCTGCTGCCCTGATGGCTGTCTGGGCTGTTACCATCAAGACGATGTCTCTCTACTTCAAATTTGTCCTGTGTCTTTCTAGCTAGAGTGTGATCTCATGCTCCCTGTCCTGCTTGGGGGAATTTTGCAGTGGTAGAGTTCAATAATGTTAATGGTCAATATTGTTTTCCTCTTCCTGCTTGCTTCTAAGAATGTGACACCTTTTCCTTTTGATGTCCCCACTGGAATTTGGTAGCAATTCCTGTTTGGCTGCACTAGTTTTGTGGGCTGTGCATTTTGACTTCAGATGAGCCTGATTCCTGAAAGAAACACAGATTCCTGAGTATATGTCCAGTGCTAAAGTGATGTCCAAGGCAACACAAGATTGAGCAGGTCTAATGCTGTCATGTATCTCCCTAGCATTTTCAAAACAAATGGGAAATCACCACTCCCAGTATGGCCAGGTGCACAGAACTTAATGGAAAGCCTTAAGCCTCAGGGTTTGAAAGTAGCCATCAATGTGGAAAAGCCTTGCTTGATAGCAGACAAAACAAGCCAGAACCAGAATGTAGGAGGAGTAGTTTAGGAAAGAACAGAGGCAAAATAGAGCCTGTATGTAAACTGGGATCAAGAAAGGTGTCAGTAGGGGGTTCATGAAACCGCCTACACGAAACTGTTCAGGAAACCTGCTGGGACATGGAGACGCTTCCACGTGGCTAGAGAGGGAAGAAACTCCTCTCACCGCAGGAGTTTGCTGATTAAAGAGTTCACTAATGTGTCAAAAACAAGTAAGGACAGAAAGGGCCTCCTCACAGTAGGTCAGGGAGGAGACTGGCCATCGTATCTGCTTGGAGGACAAGGCATCGTGTTAGCTTGACCTGCAGCAGGTCCTGCCTGCAGCAGGTGATGTCGAGGTCAGTGATTTAGCAAACCAGGTTCTTCTGTGGATTCCCTGGGTGAGGATGGAGGGGGTTGATGAGTGCCGAAATGGAGCTCTGCACGTGCAGCCGAGTCTAAGGAAAAGCGGTGACGAGTGTCTTCCTAGAAATGTACTGTTAATAAGCACAAACACAAGAAGGACGGGGTAAATGTTTGATGTGAGGTCACTTCCTGAGAAGAGGTTTTGGTGAAATTGAAAAGTAATGTTTGGGCTGTGGAGTTCATGGCCTTGTGGTTGGCACTCTTGTGGGATTGCAGAAAGGTTAGCTATCTGTGTAGCTGATGACAGAAACTATAGTTTTTATGTATATACAATTATGTATATATTAACAAGTTGTAATACAAGTATATATTACTTTTTAAAATCTATATTATAATTTGCTGTAAATCCTTGTGCTTCAAGACATCTGGAGTTATGGAGAACTTTTTGTAATAAACAAATGTTTAAACTGCTGTTGAAAAGGTCCTTGCACTTCCCTTTGAAGCACTGTGTTCTGTAGAGAGTTACAGGGTGCTAAACAGTGTATCTGGGAGTCTTGTTCAGTTTGGAAGTTGCCATAGGACTTTTTGAATTACCATACAGAACATGAAATCAGCAGCTTAGCCTCTGTAGCATTGTGTAGAATGGTTCAGTTCTCTCCTCGTCCCCAAACACGAGAACACTTTTTAATCTTTTCAGTTATTGAAGTTCTTGTTGATATAAATTATTTTATATGGATCTCTATTCCATCCTCATTATAGTTTTCGGAGATAAGATGCAATAAAGCTTATTCTAGCTCTGATGAATATAGTGCTATGGAGCCCAGAGCACTTGTTACTTTAGACATCTTGTGTTTCAGGAAAGAGGAGAGTATCTCTGTAGTATGATCAAGTATAGAGGAAGAAGGAAGAGACATGGACATGAGAGAAGTGAGGGTAATAGAACTGGAGGAAGAATTAAGAGCTGGAGAGGGAATGGGGGGAACAAGTTAAATCTGTGCTCTCGCCAAATTAAAGAGGAGGGGGAGTGATAAGTGAATAATGCAAATCTAAATAAGTGAACGTTAATGACAGAAAAGATTGAAGAAATGAGCCGAAGGATGGCAGAAAATGCAGCTCAAAAAATAAAAGTTCACAGAGAAAAGAAGGGAAATAAACCCAACCCTGGCATTTAGTGAAATATTAACCAGAGCGACAAGGAAGAATAGTGGTTGTTGAAGGAAGGGGAAAGGGCAGAGGATTAATCTCACCTGACCTTAGACATCTAATACAGACTCTGAAATGAGAGCTGCCTGATTAGAGTCCTTTGTAGTGGAGGGAGAGAGAGAGGGGGGCATTTTTGGGGTGTGGTTGAGTTGACATAGTTAAGGTGGCTGCCTCAGAAAGAGGTGAATTGTGCCCTTAAAGTGCTTTTTTTTCTTGCTGACTGTGAAGGGAATCTAGGCAAACTGTGGTGATATTTACAGTGCAAGTTGCCTGCATTTGAAGTCAGATAAGATGTTCCCCCTTCCCAAGAAGAAGAGAAAACAAGGCTGCAAACCAAATTTGTTTTATATGACTTTGCGAAAATTAACATAGTGTGTTTGGGTCAGTACATAGGATTTAATTCCTGCGTTGTATGACATTAGAAAAATCTGACTCAGGATCTATATAATTCAATAGCTCATCTTAGATGATGGCTTCTGCTAAACGCTTATGAAAAAAAAGTGTAAGAAATATGACAGGAATAATAGTATTCTTCCCCATCCTGTGCTGTTTGAGCTCAGGAAACTGCTGGGCTTCCTGAGCTGGGGTTGCTCACAGAACCATCATCTTTAATAGTGATTTTAGAGATCCTTTTCCTTCACTGTTCTAGTAGGTTACTGGCTAAATTCTAAGTCTTTCAAATTAGCTGTGTTCCCGCAGTTGTTTATTTTCATAATTGATGTTTCTAATCATAAAAATATCTGTGCTGCCAAAACCGTCCTTCATTTGAATGTTTTAGAAATGGGAAGCACTGCATGTTTTGTTCATGTGTCAGCTCGGAAAGCTGCCAGCCACGTAGTCCATGAAGGGGCATCTGAGCATTTCATATGCCTAAAGTTGTGTTCTGCCTTCACGAATGCCAGGGGATATTTTCCCTCTGAGTTCAGTGGCAGCAGCACTGTTAAAAGGAAGCAAAACACTTGCAGATGCGGGAAGTGTGTTTTTTAAATAAGTGACTTAAAGTCATCAGAAAATCCCTCAAGTCAATCAGTGTTGGCATTTCCTGTTTGTTTTCCCTTCTAGGAAAAGAAGATTTTTCAGATTCCCTGGATGCATGCTGCAAGACATGGGTGGGATGTTGAAAAAGATGCTCCTTTATTTAGAAACTGGGCAATTCACACAGGTATCAGAACTTTCTGTTTTAAGGACAGAGTTCATTTTATTTTACCCTTTCAAAGAACCATTTTCTTTCTTTCATATCCTTGCTTTTAGTAACACAAAGAATGAATCTGAGTTGCCGAATCTGTGGGAGTTTAAGTGATTCTTGCAAGGTCCATACTCTCCAGCTTCATTGAGAGGCCATAACTCATTTGCATTGAGGAACACAGTAACACTTAATTGATTTAAACGTTAACAAGATTGGGTTCAAAATTGCCGAGAGCAGAGCATGCTCAGCACTTTGTAGATTTGCACCCTTAGGCTCTTTATGTGTTTCTATGGATTCGAGCCAGACATAATAAAGGTAAATGCTGTGCAAGCTTTTCCATGCTGCTGTAGAGTTGTATCTGATCTGCAGTGCCCTAGGTCTTTCTTGGGCAGAAGCTGTTAATCGTGTTCTAAAACCATGCATGAAAATGAGATTGCAGCATTCAATTTTTTTTTGAAACTCCAACTATTGATTAAATGCTTGTCTTGAGAACTGAAGGCTAATATCTTGAAGTTAACTCATGTTGTTATTAATTTGCCGCAGGTTTTCTATTATATGTCATATGTACCTAACTTCCTTTTCTTGCTTAGGAAAATACCAGTCAGGAGTAGATAAACCTGATCCAAAAACATGGAAGGCAAACTTCCGATGTGCTATGAACTCTTTGCCTGATATAGAAGAAGTGAAGGACAAAAGTATAAAGAAAGGAAACAATGCCTTCAGGGTGTACCGGATGCTGCCGCTGTCTGAGAGACCGTCCAAAAAAGGTAGGCGAGAGACCCTGTTAATGTCCAAATGGTGTTGGGTAGATTGTTATGACTTTGTCAGTGAAAACTACTGAGGATACTGAGGTCTGCAAATTGTGCCAGTCTTCCTTCAGCAGCTGTAATATCAGGTGCTTTTGTTCAGACATTTCTGAGGAGTTCTGAACTTCCATGTGAAAAATTCTCTATTAAGAGAACAAAATGCTTTGAGAGAGGATCAGCAGGATCCCTCAAAATTGGTCATCTCATGTAAATTGTCTTAGTTCTATTGAAGCCAGAGGCATTGTGTTTAGATTTCGGCCCCAGGTATTTAGCTTATTTAAAATCTGGGGCTCCAGGTAAATGCTGGAAAATGGCCAGGGTTTAATATCATAGAATCATAGAATCATAGAATGCTTAGGGTTGGAAGGGACCTCTAGAGATCATCTAGTCCAACCCCCCTATGAGACAGTGGGTGGTACAGTGTAGACAGCTGAAGATTTGCAGTGTGGCAACCACTGTTAATCTGGATGCTGATAATTTTTTTTCTGAAGGAGGTGTTAATGTGATTGCTGAGTTATAGCACTGCTTCAGGAAGCTGAGAATACCATGGAGAAGAGCTCTTTTACATTTATCTATGGTAGCGTTTCCAAAATCACAGTCCCCATGAGGTATCTTAGTCAACAAGGCCAGCACAGAGCCGTATCTGCCTATTCCCTAGCCCTTGTGGAAGAACTGGGTCTCATTTACAGTATCCCTTAGATCAAGATGCAGATTAGGGGGATGTCAGAACTCGGTGTATTTAACACTCCAAGCTCATTCAGAGCCTGGAGGCAAGCATACTGCTGCCTGTTCTCAAACAAGGGTAGAAATAAACTCATGTGGTTTTGAACCAAGTGGGAGCAATGAACGTTTAAGCAAAGCTGTAGTAGTTGTTGATATAGCTGAGCAGCAAATGTGAAGAGCTGATTCTGTGGAAGGACATGGGGGTGAAGCTGCCATGTGGAGTTGGGAGTGCAGATTCAGCATCTTAGTTTCTATGCAAGGAACAAACTCCCAAGTTTGACATCGTGGGGATGTATCTCCTTTAAACCGTGAAACCATTTTCTGATTTAAGTACCTTAACTAGGTCACAAAGAATGAGTGAAAAGGATTGTTGTGTTTGCCCACACAGAACAATACTGGTAAAGCAGGGAAGACTTGTGTTTAAATCCCCAGCTTAGCTATTAAGTGTCCCACATGCCAGGAAAGGAGCAACTACCAGGTCAGTCTCACAAATGGTTGCTTGTGAGGTAGAAACATTCACTTAGTTCTCTAGACCACAGTGCCTAGAAATTTTAGATGAAAAGGTAACTTGCAGTCCAAATGCATGGTCTTATTGTAAATCTGATATGGGTCAGCGATAGCACAGTTTTCTGTGGTGTGGTTTTTGTTTTGCTTCTTTGTTTTTTGTTTTGTTTTGTTTTGTTTTTTTACTTCGGATCTAAAAGGAACATCTTAAGTTTGGAAATGGCGATAGAGAACTCTAGCATTTATAAGGCAGAACTAGGCTATGAAATAAATATCAGTCTGGAGAAAAATAGAAAAAAATTGCTTTAAAACTGTTTCTGATCTCTGGACTATGGTGTATTATGTACCTTCAGGCATATTTCCCTAGACCATATTCTGTTCCATTGCAGCTAGTTACTCTTATAGCTGTAAGAGCTAGAAGAGTTGAGGATGAAAGCTGAGATTTTGGAGCCCTGGTGGGAACAGATTCTGCAGCAAGTCCAGTTGCTGTGCATCTGTGCCGTATCTGGGGCCTTGTATATATTCTCACTCACACTTTCTGCGTGCCACGTGGTCAAGTTTACGTATGAGCGAGAGCAGAATTTGGCTGCGAGCCTTTTGAATTTGCAGTGCTACCTCGGAGCAGTGGCGAGGGGACTGCATGGCCTGCGCGAGCGGTGGGAATTGCTCACCTTGGAGCAGCCAGGCTCTGCGCCGTGGCAGGGCCTGCGAGGGAGCACAGCGGGGTGTGAGGCCACGTGTAGTGGGGCTTTTTTCTTTTTTCTTTCTTTTTT